CAAACCACGACATCTTGTACTAATTATACGCTCTCTCTCTCTCTTGCAGTCATTTTTTCACACTGTGCTACGCAATGGTCCACAATGCGAGACATTTGTAAAAACAAACTTACGTGTAACAAATTGGAAACGCAAGCTAGGATGTCGTTGTCAATACAAGCATGTTGTAGACTGGTGTGGATGTTCACCCAATGATTTCAAACCAGAAGATATACCAAGACTACAGGTGGGAAATAAACGGCATTAAATTAAAACTACACTAATTTATTTATATACTGGATAAAACTGTTCTTCCTCGAGGTCCAGTAAGAGTCATCTCTTATTGATCCGGTGTTACTACTGGAGGAAACCTAAACTAAACTAACTTTATTTATACTGGATAGCTCTATCAGTTCTAAATTGTTCTTCCCAGAGGTCCACCAAGGATCATCTCTTCTTATTCATCCAGTATTACTACAGGAGGAAACCTAAACTAAACCAACTTTATTTTTCTGGATAGCTCTACAGTATCAAAGGGTCATCTCTTTTTGATCCAGTGTTACTACAAGAGGAAACCTACACTAAACTAATTCTATTTATGCTAAATAGTTCTATTGGTTCTAAACTGTTCTCCCTAGAGGTCTATTAAGATCAATTTCAATTGAACAAATCTTATGTTATTTCAGAGATCCAAGTACGATTTATTCGCGAGAAAATTCGAAGCGATTGTGAATCAGAAAGTCATCAACCTTTGGGACGAATATTTATTTGGGAAATTTTCTCTGGAAACCCCGGCGCTTGCCACATACTGGGAAAATTTCTACCACTACCTAGATGATGACCGCAGGCTCAATGATGCCCTGCGCACGTACTTTGCGTCATTTGGTCGCTTAGCAACGAGACACGTCAGTTCTACCTATTGCAAGAACCTTCCGATTGGCGAATTCAAGGAGATTACATATTTGAACCAAGATGACGTGTTTAGCGGGATGTTGATTTTGCAAGAGATTAGTTTGAAAGGAGGAAGGAGTATTACAATGGAGACATGGTTGTCTAGAGCTGATCAAGAGCAAATGATGAATTTAAATATGAGCGAGGGGCCCAACCGCCTGGCTGGATTACAGGTTAGTTACTACTGGTTGCTCATTAGCTAGAATCTCCCATAGTTGTCGCTGATTGGCTACAAGCTAACACACACACAAAGTTGCACGCATGATAGCAAAACAAACAGACTAGACTTTATTAAGAACAAATGAATTTGGATATGATGAGGAACCAATTAAGGAGTCCTGCTGGATTAAATGTTAGGAATGTGAAGGCGGGGGTGGGGGGTGGAACCACCGAAGAGAAATGTTTTTCTTGGTAAGAATTTTGCTGTTCCAACCATTGAAATAAGGATACCATTCAGTTGTCACACATGTCCTTCAGTACCACTTCTGTGACATGAGGTTGATAACTGCTTGTGCAATTTCCTGCGGTGTAAAGTTTCATGTACTCTACATATACTTTCTTTGGAGACACGACTTGCCTCCTGACAGTGCCTCTGATTGATTTACATATTGTATTGACATATGACTGTTGACATTGCTTTTTAGTCTTCAATATTTGAGTGAGTCATGCTTTGGAAATGACAATAAATTTGTATTACCCAACCCTCGAGTTTTGTTTTTCATTTACACAATCTTTTACTCACTCAGAATTTTGTTTACCCAACCCTTTTCTCTTCGGTCGGCCACCATAAATAATGACCGGGCACTCAACAATGTACGATCCTCTCTCATGTAGGTGGGTACAAGCTGGGATGAGAAAGAGAGAATGTTTAGGAACCATGGTCGACTTATGGGACCATGGGATGACCCGGTATTAGTACATTACTGGAAGAAAGGAACACCGTTTAACATCAAACTTATGTGGATTGACCCGATCAGCGTGGTCACAGGCGTTTACGAGATGCGAGTTGCGGACGACTGGGTGGTCTCCTTCCATAAACCAACTTACAATAAACCACTTCGTCCTGGCACATGGACAGTGAAAATGGTTTATCGTGAAGAAGGGGGAGCTGACTTGGTTATAGGTCAAACGAGTTTTTTGATCATACCTCTTGCCTTTAAAAAGGGCATCGCGATCGACCCTGATCAGGCGATTGCCTCAAACGCCGGTCCGCCTGCAGGAAGGTATACCTCACAGTACACTATAGAATTTGATAGAGAGTCGGCGAATATAGATGTGCTTGCGAATGTGGCGTCGTTGAACTCGAAAAAGACTGGACAAGAGTTACACGAGTGGATAGACACTTTGGTAAAGGAGAACTGGTCTATTGAAGACGCATGCGCGGTTGGAAGTGAGGTACGGGAATGTGATGGATTGGTACAGTGTGAACTGACGTCATGGAGTTCGCGGTCACCTGACCCCAAGTCTGAAATTGGTCAAGTTGGCGTGAATGGTACACTAAGGTGATCGCTAGGGAAATACATAGAATGGTAAATGTGGTCACAGATGGATTCATATGGATTGAACTGTATGTATTAAGTGACATGGTGGACTTTTCCGATGACAGAGGGATATATTAAATGATAGTTACAGGGTACTGTGGTCAACAGAGGGATATATGAAGTGATGAATGGGTACTTGTGGTCACATAGGGATAGATGAAATGGCGATAAATGGGTACTTTATGGGATAGTGGTAGGGTAACTGTGTGAAAATCGCGTGGTATTTATTGTCACATTGGGACATATTTAGTGAAAACCACAGGGTACGTGTGGTCACAGATGGACAAATTCCAAAAAGTGTTAGACTTGAGCAACTATATCAGTATGTATTTATGAGAAACATTTTCAAAACATATCCGCATTTATAAATTAATGTCCAAGAATTTTCTGACATACGCAAAGAACATCACCCAAAGCGCGCACGTTGAACGAACTTTGAAAAGTTCATTTTCAATGTTTATAAATAAATTATATCATTCATACAATTGGTGTTATTTGTATAACAATCCCAACGAGACAAATGATCCGTCTGGACAAACTTGGACAAAGAAAAGATAGTTCGTCGATATTCGTCTGTGCGAATAATATAAACCGAGCCAATTCGTCTGTACGACTAATATAAACCCAGCCGACGGGTCTGAATAGGCTAATATAAACCGAGCCAGTTCCTCCTTATTATAATAATAGTTATGCAAAATAAACTTCCATACAGGGACTGTTATTAAGTCTAGAACAATTACCATTGCTAATGAAACTTCAATATCAAACGCCGCACCATGGGAGGGCCAAGAAATAGTCGTAATGGACAGAAAAAAATATTAAAATTATTTAAAATTCATTTACTCATGTTACTGTGAAACTCTTCTAAAAACTGACTTCGCGGCAATTCGATAACAGATGTTTTTTCAACACTTGCATTGCTACGAAGACAGTTGTTAGAAGACTCTCGCAGTAACATAATAAGTTTCTAGTGAATTTTAAATATTTTTTTGTCCATTACGGTTATCTATTAGCCCCCCATGACCGCACGCAAAACATACGGTAGTAAATGCAGTGCCCGAACGAATTTAGGCATAGCTTTGTAATATTCGCTACGTGAGTTTGTTAACCTGTTGTTCGTTTGTTCGGAAACGTGAGCCTTGGCATTTATTGAAAAGTAGTGCGTCTTCGAGCTTATAGTGTACTTGTTTTGCGCATGCTCGTGGGGGGGGGGGAGGAATTGAAGCCAGTGCATTTTAGTTTTTCTGAGTTATGAGCAGAAATACTTAACACTGAACGTTGTGCTGCGTATGAAACTGAAGCTATTGAAAAACTCTGTTTGGTGTAGAAATTTCAGGACTTCAGCTAAAAGGGAAATATTTAAAAACTACAAAAATAATTGCCAATACTTTGCCATTTTTTGGCCGAATGGCAGTTGTTTTTGTATTTTTGAAATATTTTTCTTTTCGCTGAAGTCCCCAAATTTTCACACCGAATAGCAATTTCACTGGGTACATCTGGTTTCGTGTGCTATCCACACATGTATATATGTGAACAAATAACATTGACATAGAAGCCTAACCGTAAAACAATATCACTGAACTTGTACTTGTTTGAAACTTCGACGGTTGTTAGGATTGCAAGTTGTTTAATTGGGTCAGGCTCTTTAGTCAATGTTGCTTCATTTATTTCTCTTGGATATTTGATGTTAAGGACATGAAATTATGACAAAAATATGCCTAATGTTACTCATTGCGGTTTGAGGTACTTGCCAGTTTTCACGCTGCGTTTGTACTGGAAAATGACTGCGGTATTTTTGGCCAGGAAATATAGCACTTATCATGCCGCCCTGTATAACCTAGAATGCTTAATGAGATATATATCTTTAAAAAATCTCGCCTTATCGCAAAACTGAGACGCAGTGTAGGTCAGCAAAAAGTACTAGAAACACATTCCTCGCACAGTGTGTGTTTTGTGTTGTTGGGCAAACACTATGGGAATAGCGCTGTTAATTATTAATTGCACAGGCCTTCTCTGGGACAAGTAGAGATGTATGAATTTTTAAACAATTTTGAAGACATACCGAACACATTTAAGAAACGCCGCGAATGTAGGGAAAAATTCTAAGCCGCTTCAGTTCGGTATAAAATGTTTTGCGACTGACATAAGATGCATTAGCGAAAGAAACATGAGGGTGACGGGACATGGGTCGATGCGTGTTTTTCGTTGGATTTTTGTGACGGGCCTATGGCTATCAGCCGAACCAGGAGTTTCGGGCATATGTTCGGACTTGTTATCCGACGTGGAGATCTACGCGGACTGGTGGAGCGTTTTGCCTTATTCTACTCGTCTTCAAGAGAAAAACGGAAACTATACTTTTAACGGTAAGCTTCATTTTGTTTTAAATGTGGTAAAAAGGATATCGATATCACACCAGATAATATAATTAGTGTTGTTTTAATTAAGCCTTTTAAAAGCTTTTCCCACCGTACCGTAGAATGTTCTGTCTACGTTTTGGTATAGCCGCGGTTAGACGCAAGAATGAGAGTTGACGAGAATGGGCCATTGCAGCTATAGATTGAATTTTGATATCAAGGCAAGAAGAACAAAATCCATCACGACAGCTAGAAAGAGCATGTTAAAATTAGTAAAATTGCAATTAGTTTGGTTGCGAAATGTTGTAAAATGCGGAAAATATAGCCCTGCGAAATTTGCAAATTTTGTATTAATTTGTCCAAGGGTATACGCACGGGAATTTGCACCACTTTCGGCACAAATTTAAAAAATTTGCGAATTTCGCAGGGCTATATTTTACAACATTTCGCGGCCAAACTTTGCAATTTTACTCATTTTAACATGCTCTTTCTAGCTTGTGGCGATGGATTTTGTTCTTCTTGCCTAGATCAAAATTTAGTCTATAACTGGAATTGCCCGTTGGCAGTCCGGCATAAATTTCGAAGCTCTAGATTAACAAATTAAAATAAGGGTTTGACGAGTGTCCCAACTATGTCTATGTTTAGAAACAGTTAACCAAGGTCGTATGATTGCCAACACTCATTCACTCTCATCCTGCTAGGTGGAAGGCCATTTTCCACTCAGTCAACGGCGTCGTACAATAGACCTTTCCCCTTTTAAATGAAATTTTGATCTAGACAAGTCTGGAAGACAGCTTGAAAGAGCATCACAAAATTAGTAATATTCCGAAGTTTCGTTGCAAAATGCGGATAATATAGCCTTGGGCCTTGCGAAGTTTGCCGTTTTTCAGTCATTTTGCATTACAAACGGGAAATTGATAATCAGACTGATCAAACTGATTATCAATTTCCATTTGTAATACAAAATGACTGAAAAACGGCAAACTTCGCAAGGCTATATTATCCGCATTTTACATCATTTCGCAACGAAACTTCGGAATATTACTAATTTTGCGATGCTCTTTCAAGCTGTGATGAAATTTTTGTCCAGACTTGTTTAGATCAAAATTTCACTTAAAAGGGGAAAGGTCTATTACCGGTTGGTTCTCGAATCTCGCGCATTTGAATTTTATATTTCCAAGTGAATTTCTATTTTCACGGCCTATTTTGTTTTGATTATTGTTGTCAAGGCGAGCACGCCATCACGCGTGGAAAACTATGATTATGCTATAGAATATCAACGACTTTTATTGTTCCCATGCAAACTTGACAAAAATACGCATTATTGTTAATGGAGTTGGTAAAAAAATATTGTTTACATTATTCTCCGATAATTGTGCATGTAGAAATGTTATAATCAGAATTATTTTTCGCATGTGGCTTAGTGGCTAGCAGGCTGCAGTTGTCAAAACACGTATAAAAAAATATTGTGAAAATGTATGCGAGCAGGTTAATGCGTTAAGGCAAGTCTACGATTAGAGGTATATCATATATTCTTATGCTGGCGCGTATGCAATGGAAATTTCGCCATAAACTAAATGAATACACTGAGCTCCACGTGCATATATACTGTATCTGGAGCGAGAACTTGAGTCCGCGGTTAATAATAATAATAATAAAATCTAAATAAAATCAGTCAATTACAATAACAAGTATATATACAATAACATAACATAAGTGCGTAACAGTGGTGCACAAATAAGGCTATATAATGTAGAATGTCTATAATTATAAACTACAATTGTGCGTAACAGCATCCGTGTTTATCAAGAATTTAAACACTTCATTCTTGAAAGTGTTTTTAGTCTCGTAAAAACACTTGTTTAACACGAACCTGGCAAGCGAGTGTGCTGAAATTTCCGCGTATTTTGCATGATCTCGATTTAACTGACGAATACTACTATAGTTTTATGAACTGACAACTTGATTAACAATACGCTCCGTTAGAAAAGACTGAAATTAGCCATTTGCGTAACAGACTAAATTTTGAACTAAACAAGTATAGACAAAAATTTCATCACAGCTTGAAGGAGCATCACAAAATTAGTAATATTCCAGAGTTTCGTTGCAAAATGTTGTAAAATGCGGAAAATATAGCCTTGCGAAATTTGCAATTTTCAGTCATTTTAGATTACAAACGGGAAATTGACAGCCCCAAACCCTTCGAGGCTGTCAATTTCCCGTTTGTAATCTAAAATGACTGAAAATTTCAAACTTCGCAAGGCTATATTTTCCGCATTTTACAACATTTTGCAACGAAACTTTGGAATATTACTAATTTTGTGATGCTCTTTCAAGCTGTAATGAAATTTTTGTTGAGATGAAAATTTAGTCTATTACGCAAATGGTCAATTAGCTGAGAAAAATGGTAATAAAATTGTTCACGACCTTCATAGCTATTGGACGACAATAGACCTTACGCATAATGACGTCACAAGGCTTGATGCCCGCGAGGAATGCTGGTCATAGTAGTCATCGCCCGGTAAAATTTCGATGGTGGCCATTTGGAAATGGTTTAATTTTCCCGGGCAAGACCAGCATTCCTCGCGGGCATCAAGCCTTGTGACGTCATTATGCATAAGGTCTAATATGTATATATATACGAATTATCAAACGATTTATCTTTTCTTTGACCACGCAAGTTCGTCGAGACGGACTAATCACCTTTTAATTTAAATTTTAATCCACAAGATTGCAGCAAAAACCCACAAAACCATTCTCAACAAATTTCACGGCAATATTCACTTTATCTTCCAATCACAGCTCGAAAAAATATATATATATATATAATTAACATTTTACTTACTTACAAAATTTTCCATGTCGATAATATTCCACAAAACTTGTCGTCTCGTTACATACGGTGAAATCAGGTCGTTAGCTTTATTATCACCATTTTGTATCCAAAGTAGCCTAAAAATTGGAATGAGGAAGCATTATTTAACTTGTCTTCATATAGTGCCTGTTCCAAGTTAATTGTTCATTGATCATTTATTGAACTTTAAACTGCGGTAACAATAACGAAATTAAGGGCCTGTTCATATGGGCAAAAGTTATCCCGGTTAACGAGAAAACCTTTCGACTAGCCAAATACTTTTGTTCTGTTCATATAGAGAAACGTTATCCCGCTTACCGGGTAAAAAAAATAAATAAATA